TCTCTCTCTTTCTTTCTTTCTTTCTTTCTCTCTCTCTTTCTTTCTTTCTTTCTTTCTTTCTTTCTTTCTTTCTTTCTTTCTTTGATGTAGGCATGTCAGGGATGTCGGGGCGACACTCTGTTTTTTGAGCAAAACCTCTATGATAGAATTAGCTTCCACCATAGAATTTTTGTGCAAAAAACAGGGTCGTCCCGACATTCCTGACTTTCCTACATCATTTTCGGGTCATGGTGAAGTCACGTAGGCATGTTGCTAAAACTCTGGGTGTTCCTCCCTTTTTTTATGGTACATCCCCCCCCCCAGGCAGCTGATTGGTGGCAGAAAGTTGGGTCCCGGGAGTGGGGGACCCCCACCCCCCGGGGGGGTCAGTCTGGCATCCCTTCAGCAGCTCCCCACAGCTCCCCAAAGAGTGAAAGAAGACTATGTTTTACCAGTGACACAGGCAAAAAAAGGGGGGGGGACAATTGGAGCAGAACTCCTCCGTTTGATCAGCAGAAGTGGAGTATGCAATTCTGGAAACTGCACAAGAGGTCACACCAAGCAGTCGTTGATTTGCCTCATTAATTCGGCTCACGGAATTCAGCCTTTCAGAACTCGGGGTTACTTTAGCACAGTGTACATCGCCCAGGCCCATACTCAGCCCTCCTCCTGTCTTAATAAAACACCTCAACCACAAGAGGAAGAAAGGCAGGCTTCCGGAAAATTCTCAGCCTCCGTGAATCACCATGCCCCAATCTGGGAGAGTGAGATTTTATTAAATCCTCCCTTTTCCTTGGAAACCTCGGGTCTTTGCCCTCCTGGCTTCTGCCTCAAGTAGCCTCATTCTTTCGTCTGGCAATATTTCCTCACTCCACACTGGCCTTTGTGCTCTTCTCCTCCGCCACTCAGAAAGAAATAACCATCCCGCCGGCTTCCTCTTTTCATCAAGAGCTAATTCTCAGGCTGGACCAAGGCCAAGATCTCAGACCGGCTGAGGGAAGGCAGTGAGCAAGAAAAATCGCCCCGGTTTCTTGTAAAAGGACATCTGTGGCAGACAGGAGAAGAGCGAACTCCGAGAGCTGGTGACAGGTAACAGGATGGGTTAGGGTTCTTCAACTCCTTCATGTTGGGTTTCCCATTAGGAGACAGGGATTGTTCTGTTCCTGTGACCTTTCAGAACGAGGGAAGTACGTCTTTGTCCCACCTTGGGAGGAATGTTCTGTAGAGGGACTGGGTGACTGGGTAGCGGTTTCGCCTCTGCTGCAGTTAGGAGCGCACTGTGCCTGCGCTGTGGTTTGTATCGCCGTGTGAGCCGTCGTGGCAATGGATGCCCGCGTGCCTTTGGTTCCGCTTTGATTTTGGCGTGTGGTACACTGAAAGCATTGAGGCAGTCGAGGTTTCCCTGTTATGTGTCTGCTCCTCTTTGCAGACTTCTAGGGAGAAATACAGAAGAGCACGTGTTTTGTATGCGGAAAGTCCCAGGTTCAATCCCAGTAGAGCATAGGGCTCCCGGATCCCCCTTGGCCACTGGTGGGGGATGGGAGGTTGGGTTGCCAGATCCAGGTTGGGAAAGTCCCGGAGATTTGGGGATGGAGCCTGGGGAGGATGGGGGCCTCAGTGGGATACAGTGCCATAGGGTCCACCCTCCAAAGCAGCCATTTTCTCCAGGGGAATGGGTCTCTGTTGTATGAAGAAGAGCTGTAATTCCAGGCAAGGGTTTAGACTTTCCAATTTCCGGGGGGGGGGGGCTGGGGCTGGGCCAGAGGCATTGCTTTGCTAGGAGCAAGGGTGGCTCCCGGGGGAGGCTGAGCACCTTCCTGAAAATTTCGGCGGGGGCTGAAGCCCCGCCGCCCCCACAAAGATTACGCCTATGATTCCAGGGGATCCACAGGTCCCACCTGGAGGCTGGCATCCTAAGTAGAGCAGGGAACTGCACCATGGTTGACCAGAGAAGACAACACCTTTCCACATGAGTGACAAAGCCCGCCCACCTCCACGCACCCTAATTGAATTTGGGCAGTGGATTGCAAGCTCCCTCCATGATTTTTTTTGAATGCTCTTTTTTGAGAGTTCTAAGTTGGCTTGCAAGACTTTGGTACCTGCGCATCCCCCCCGCAATGCCAGTTCGGTGTTAGGGTATAGCGGTGGGCAGGCAGCAGAACATTGGCTAAGTGAGTCCACAACACCTCCATGCGGATTATAACGTTGCCAGACTGCAAAGTGAAGCTGGGCCGTAATTCTGCAAAAGACAGCGGCATTTAAAAATCTTAATCCAATTTCAGAAATCGGGAAGGAAGGAGGCACACTTCACTGTTTCCGAGGTTGGCTGTGCTGGTCTACGGTTGGAACAGGCAGATTTTACTCCAGTATCACCTTAGAGAGCCACAAGAGTTTTGGGATATAACTGGTAACAATTGTTCCTTAGATGGCATATTACCCCTAAAGATATCGCAAACGCACATTTGATTATGACTGATGGTGTGTGTGCTATGTTTTTGGAAGGTTTAAATTGTATATCTATCTTGCGCATTTATAAGCCATTGTCACCCGCTCTGAGCTGGGTTCAGAGAGAGTGGGGTATAAATTTAATAAAATAAATGAATAATAAATAAAATATTACAATGAGAAGTGCTGGAAATGTCAGAATACGGATGCAACATTCTATCGTATGTGGTGGGCACGTAAGAAAGCTGGGAAGTATTGGATAGGGAGAGATGAAGAAACGCAAAAGAGACTAGCACTAAAGTTTGTGGTGGGCCCGGAAAGTGTGCTATTAAATATCTCACCAAGCAGTACTTCAAAAAAATGCACGGTGAATTATTTATGCATATGGCGGCAGCAGCAAGAGTAATATTTGCAGCGAAATGTCCAAACTGGATGGAATGGAGGAACAAACTGCATGAATATGCAATAATGGCAAAAATTAACATCTCTCATGCATGATAGACTGATTTCAGCGAGAAAAATTGGAAGTTCTTAAAAAATTATATAGCTGAAAATCAAGAATAAAATTAAATCACAACAGAGAAAGAGGAGGGAGGAAGAGAGGGAGGGAGGGGAGAAAGAAAGAAAGAAAGAAAGAAAGAAAGAAAGAAAGAAAGAAAGAAGAAAGAAAGAAAGAAAGAAAGAAAGAAAGAAAGATAGATAGATTAAGGTAACATGCTTTATAACGAAAATGTTCTCGGTATTAGATAGATAAGGTAATTAAATAAAAGTGTAATAATAAATATTAATAAGTAAATTTAAGCAAGTTCGACATAATGTAGCTAAATGCATTATTTTGAGTATAAATGAGTATAGTTTGTATTTTATGTTTACATGCCTGTAAATTTTATATATGTATATCTATCTGAAGTTGGCTCAATTTCATGTTCGTTGCATCTATGACACTGTCTAACCATCTCATCCTGTGCCGTCCCAGTCTTTCCCAGCATCAGGGTCTTCTCCAGCGAGTGCTCCCTTCTCATTTGGTGGCCAAAGTATTTGAGCTTCAGTTTCATTATCTGGCCTTCCAGGGAACAGTCAGGGTTGATTTCTTTTAAGATTGACTGATTTGATCTCCTTGCAGTCCAAGGGACTCTCAAGAGTCTTCTCCAGCACCCTAGTTCAAAAGAATCTATTCTTCGGTGCTTGGCCTTTCTTATGGTCCAACTCTCGCAGCCATACATGACTACTGGGAATACCACTGCTTTGATTGTATGGACTTTTGTTGGCAGGGTGATTTCTCAACTTTTTATCATGCTGTCTAGGTTTGCCATCGCTTTCCTCCCAAGGAGCAGGCGTCTTTTAATTTCATGGCTGCTGTCACAGTCTGCAGTGATCTTGGATCCCAGGAACGTAAAGGGTGTCACTGCTTCCATGACTTCTCCTTCTATTTGCCAAGGAGTGATGGGGCCGGATGCCATGATCTTAGTTTTTTTGATGTTGAGTTTCAAGCCAGCCTTTGCACTCTCCTCTTTGACCTTTAGCAAGAGGCTCTTTAGGTCCTCTTCACTTTCTGCCATTCAAGTGGTATCGTCTGCATATCTGAGGTTGTTGATGTTTTTCCCGGTAATCTTAATTCCATCTTCTGAATCATCCAGGCCGGCTATCTATCTATAGCTCTAGCTATATATGATTTTTGGGATATAGGCTTCTGAGAGTCTGAGTTCCCTTTGTCAGATATTCATCAGATATCTACCAAAGGGAACTTAGAGGCTTGAAAAATTATACCTGGAAAGTCTTGTTGGTCTCTGAAGCATTCCTGGACTCAAATCTAGCTGTTATACTTCACTGTCTCACCCAACAGGTTTAATTTCAAAAGCAGTAAGAACTGGGGATGAGTGAATATTTCCCGTTTTGTTCCTCTCGTTTCTATTTTTGTCCATGGTTTTGGTTCTCTGGGCTGTTGGTCTTATAGCTTAGATCGCATTCGGTCTGCCTGGCATAGTGTTTTTGTGTGAAATTTTATATGCAATTGGATATTTTTATAGACGTTGTGCATCATCGATACGCATCATCATGCTGATTTATTGACCCATAAACACTGTCAAAAAATGTGTACATTTTACGAGAGAGAATAGGGATGGGGAAATGGAGTCCGGCAAGCAAATCAAGAATCCTGGGTTTGGTTTCCACAAGGGAGAAGCGAAATTGAAACAAGGATGTGCAGGTCGAAACTTCAGGGGAGAGAAATTCAAAATTGTTTTCAGTAAGAATTACCCACTTTACGAAAACTCATCCGTGCATCTCTGTGCAGCTCAAAGCTCCTACCGGTAGCATGCTTCTGACTGGAAGGGGGATAGCCTAGTCCACTAACTCATGCAGATCCAAAAAAAAAAAAAGGCATCCTCTTCTGACAGTGGAGATTGTCTGCACTGGGAATGATCAAATGATCCAGCTGTATCTGGTGCAGAGAGCCGGGAGGATTACTGACAAGCTCAGAAGAGGGTGGTGAGGGGCGATTCTGCATCTAGCATTCGCTCCACACTTTCTCAACCGGAAGGAGAAAGTGCAGCTCAAAACCACATTCAAATATCTCAGGGCAATGCCACACTGACTGCAAAGTCACCCCTGAACGGCCCATAAATCTATGCAGAAGGTACCATAAAACCTGATGATCAAAAAAAGCGAAATCGGCATGCAGTGCGGAGGGTACCATAAAACCCGATGATCAAAGGAAGCGAAGGCGGCATGCAATGCAGAGGGGAGTTTCTGTTCCAACATGGGTTTCGTAAAACAATGGAGGGAAAGGCCATGAGCACTGCAACCCTAGAGTCGGACTTGACTGGCTTTCGAGCAAAGGAACCTTTACCTTTACCTTTAAGTTCTGAGCTGTAAATCGTGCAGAGGTGGCAACAGGAAACTTCCCTGGTAAGAGGATATTTTGCCTTTACAAAAGCCCATCGTAACTGAATCTGTGTTTAATTCACTCACCCCTATATGGACTGCTCACTCCTATAGGAATTGTACCTGGCTACTATGATCATCTTTCTATGCCCTGTTTTGTGTGCCCCCACCATCTGAGGCTCGATGTGTGGCGATCCAAGAAAGGGGATTCTTGGTCATGGCACCAAAATTACGGAATTCTTAGGGAAGTTCCTTAAAAATATATTATTATATACTTCATTAAAATATAAGACTCTAGGCCAAATCGACATATGCATTTTAGAATCAGCTTGGTGCCGCGGTTATCCCATGTGATTTAGAACTGCTGCGCCTCCTCTGCTTTCAAGGTAGCACTAGGGGAGCTGTCCACTTTGTCTTTTTTTCAGCGATCTAATCTCACAATCTATTGGTCATCACTCGATGGCCCCTGGGGGTTACTGGAGTGTTCTGGGACTGGAATGAGAGGCCCCACAGTGGAATGGTAGCCCCTGGGGTTAGCAGGAGTATTCTGGGACTGGAATAACCGGCTCCAGAGTGGAATGACAGCCCAGGGGGTAGGAGATGTGTCCTGGGACTGTAATGGTAGGCCTGGCATTCCAGTTCCAGGACACTCCTCTTACTCCAAGGGGATGTCATTCCACCATTGGGCCTGTCATTCCACTCCCAGAACACAACTGCTACCCCGAGGGGCTGTCATTCCACTCTGGGGCCTGTTATTCCAGTCCCAGAACACTGCTGCTACCCCCAGGGACTGTCATTCCACTCCGTGATCTCTCATTCTAGTCAAAGAACACTCCTGCTACCCCCAGGGGCTATCATTCTACTCTGTGGTTTCTCATTCCAGTCCCTGAACACTCCTGCTAACCCCAGGGGCTGTCATTCCACTCCAGAGCCTGTCATTCCATTCCCAGAACACTTCTGTTACTCCTAGGGTCTGTCATTCTTACCCCTGTGAACTTAAAAATGAGAAATGCCATGACTACAAGGCAGGAATTGCAACTTTTTGAGCCAAATGCAAGCTCTTACTTGAAAAAGCTGCTGACTGTGCATTGCCCAGTCATA